ATAATGTATTAGTTTGTGATTAGGTCAGTTTCTGGGAAACCACTAGAGGTAGGTCAGTAATATATTTGGTATGCAGTTGTATTAGCGTTGGTATATATCATTTCCATGGAGATTATTTGGCTCAGCAATTCTTGGCTGTCCATCATATTGTCTTTTTTTGAGTTTGTTGCCGACAAGAGACGTATGTCTGTGTAAACAGTTTATTATGATATGTCTGAGGAGTTTCAAAAACTTGTGCTAATCAACTAGTGTTATATAAGTTGAAAATAGTACTGTATATATGGAAAATGTATTGTAAGCACCTTCAAACCTATATTTCTTGAAGGATTTCTATGAATTTATACCAGGAATGTCTTTAAGTTTTAAAGATCCCTGATCATTTATTTTAACATGAATTATGTTCCTTGGAAATATAATTTATATTGAAAATTGAACTATAAAAACTCACGTCTACATTTCTTGTTGGGTGTTGTTATTGACGTTTAGATCAGCAATGTCTGGGAAGAGTTCATTAATCAGCACGGATCAACAATGTTTACAAGAGTTAAAATTTAGTATATGGGAACAGTCATGGTCTATTGACTTCGAAACGTTTGTTTAGTTTACTTGTATTAGTTTTTAATAAGGTTAGTTTATATGTCATTGATATTTGGTTTGCAGCTGTATTATTATTGGAACATCACATTTCCATTGAGATTATTTGGCCCCGCCCTCTGAGTCATGGTCTACTGACTTTGAAACTTTTGCTTAGTTTACATGTATTAGTTTGTGATTAGATCAGTTTATTGGGAACCACTAGTGGTAGGTCAATGATATTTGATATGCAGCTGTATTAGCATTGGAAAATCTCATTTCCATAGAGATTATTTGGCACTGCCCCCTCAGTCATGGTCTTTTGACTCTGAGACTTTTGTTTAGTTTAAGTGTATTAGTTTGTGATAAGTCAGTTTATGGGTAACCAAAAGTGGTAAGTTAATGATATATGATATGCAGTTCTATTAGCATTGGCACATCTCAATTCCATGGAAATTGTTTGGTCATGTTTCTCCAGTCATGGTTCATTAACTTTATAAAAAAAGGAGATGAGGTAATATTGCCAATGAGACAACTAACCACCAAAGTTCAAATAAAGCGGATGTAAGCAATTGTAGGCAACCGCACGGCCTTCAACAATAAGAAAACCTATACCGGATAGTCGGCTATCAAAGGCCCTGACATGTAAAACATAAAACAATTCAACTGAGAAAACTAACTGCCTAACTCATAACAAAACAATTAACGAAAAACAAATATAACAGCCATGAACCAACGACAACCACTGAACTACAACCCTCCTCTAACCTGGGACGGTGGTGTAACAGACAAACTATAAGAATCAGTTGAAAAAGGCTTAACTCATCAGATCGATACAAAGCAGAAAAACATCAAACATAAACACAGACTGGACGTGGCAGGGTATTTATCAATCCCTCATCCCTAACAACAAAAAGGACACTAAGTACAGATCTGAGAGTACTCGCAGTTACTGACAGCTAGTCCAAAGCCAATAACAACCAACAAAAAAATTATGTATCTAAGACTAAAATATCAATCAGTACACATCCAACATCGGAGGATTTAATGTAAAAACGTCATTAACAGTCAGCGAAAAACATGACTTTGTGCAATGCCAAAATGAAGATATCGACAGATTGTAGTACTGTTAAAGTGCATATGTGTATAACAAAACTATTTAGTATGATTTTAATTTGCTGATAACATTTTTTTACTTAACTGATATGTTACACTATTGCTATTTTGATTTCAATTATTGCATTTTACTATAAAAATAATAAAAATGTGAGACATTATCTCTGTGGTAACAGTTTATTAATGTGAAGTTTTCTGCTACAGTCAGTTTGATAGGAACTTCTTGTGATAGGTCAATGATATTTTCTTTAAAGTTGCATTACTATCAATACATATACGTTTAACGACTATTTTGAGGCCCTGACCCCTAGGTCATGGTCCAGTGACTGGATGAACTAGTAATTTTCATTGCTTACAGTAGACAACGATATTTTCTATAAAGTTATATTACTGTCTGTTCATCTCAGTCTGTCGACCATTTTGAGGCACTGTCCACTAGATAATGGTCCAGCGGCTTTGAATTAATTAGCAATGTTGCTGTCCATCAGATTGTCTTTTTCTGAATTTATGCCGACAGGTGAGACATATCTCTATGTCAACAGTTTATTATGATATTTCTGAGTAATGTAACTTAAACTGAAAATTTCACTTTAAACACTCGCGTCTACATTTCTTGTTGATTGTTTTATGACGTTTAGATCCTCAACGTCTGGGAAGAGTTCATTAATCAGCACGGATCAACAATGTTTTCAAGAGTTATAATTTAGTATTTGGGGTCCATGCAAGGTCTACATGTCCATCAAACAGGATTCACGTGACCTCAATCTTATTTCGTGGATCTGTGATACAAGTTTTTGTGATGAGGTCGGTTTCTTCTATACTGTCAGTAGAAGGCAACTTTTTGGTGTAATGAATGACCTGTAACACCTGAACCTGAAATCATTCGACAGGCTCATTGGACAATGATTAATTTTTATGGTTTAAGTCTTTTCTCGAATCATTCAATTCGTTAAACTATCATCTTTGACCACTGGATAACAGGACGATTGTTGATTATTGCAAAAAAACATGTAATAGTATTCTCATTTTCATGGTTCAGCAACTGCTTGAAAAAAAATTTGAGATTCTTTTGTCATGTAAATTTCTCACTTATTATGAGTAATAGGATTACTATATTTGCTATATGGGTTCTTTGCAACGTCTTCATGTCCGTTAGACAGGATTCTCCTGACCCTGACCTCATTTCATGGATGAGGGATCAAGATTAAAGTAACGTGAATAGGTCTGTTTCTCAGATACTATAAGCAGTAGGTCAACTATATGGTATGATTGTAAAGGACATGTCAATATGGCAGGTTTCATCTGACCATGACCTCATTTTCATGTTTTATTAGTCAATGGTATTTTTTTTGTGTTTAGGTCCGTTTTTCAAGTGCTATAAGCAATAGGTCAACTATATTTGGTGTATGGAATGATTGAAAGATGTACATGTCGGTCTAGCCAGTATCATCTGACCTTGTCCTCATTCTTATGGTTCATAGGTCAATGTTAGGTTTTTGTTTTTTGGTCTGTTTTTCAATAACTAAAAGCAATAGGTCAGCTATATTTGGTGTATGGAATGATTGTAAGGGATACATGTCTGTCTGTTAGTTATTATCTGACCTTGACTTCATTTTCATGGTTCATTAGTCAATGAAACGTTTTCGTAATTTTGTCAGTTTATCAGATAATATAAGCAACAGGTCAACTGTAGTTGGTGTATGGAATGATTGTAATGTGTACATGTCTGTCTGGTCTGGTTTATCTGACCATGACCACATTATAAAAGAGCATTTATAATGTTAAGTTTATGTGATACTTGTAGTAAAACCTTCATGTTACAGACTTTCAACATGAATTCAATGATAAGTAAAACAGGCGAGACATTTCAGCGTGTGCACTGTTGTTTTTCTATCGGCCAATACTTGAATGAAATTAAATATATTCAATGACACTGCCTGTCAACTAACATGGCTAATGATAGAACATAGGGGTGAAGTGCAAGTTTTGTATATTATCTTGAAAACCGATAAAAAAAAGAGACGGGTGCAGGAATGTTCAGAATTTTGAGATCTACCTTGTGTCCATTTTGATCAAAACTGTTCCCCTTAAATTACAAATTTGACCAATTTCTTTCATTTTTGCATTTATCTTGAACACTATTGTAAATATAGAGATACTTAATAGTAAAAATGATCAGCAAAACAAGATCTTCAAATATTTATTTCTAAATGCTAACAGATTAACAATGTCAAGAAAAATGAATTTCCTCCCCTTCCCCATCACCCAGAGTCACAATATGTTTAAAAACATCATTCGTTACCTGATGACAACTAAACATAAAAAAAAAATATTAATGAAATTTATAAAAGGTTTCCAACCAATTACAGCTTAAACTAAATTCATGTATGGAGCATTTTAAAAACTTAGCTAATATAAAAATAAGAAGATGTGGTATGATTGCCAATAAGAAAACTTACTCTTTACCATATTTAATATTGTCCATTAATAAATAAATTAATTGAATTCTTGGTTTGCTGAATCTAACCGTGTATTTAGATTTTGGATATGGGACCATGAAAGGTAAAAGTCTGATTCCAATTTTCCAGTTCTTTGACCACATCCATTCTGTGTTGGAAATCTATGTTGTGCCAAATTTTTAATCACAATCCAAATTCAGAACTGTATCAAGCTTAAATGTAGTGTTCATACTTGCCCCAACTATTCAGGGTTCGACCTCAATCAAGCTGCGCCCTGCGGAATATTTTATTGATAAATATGTTTGGTGTGGGAAAATATCCGTAATCATCTTAAGCATCCTTCCCTTCCTGATTACCTGAGATCACCCCGGTTTGTGCTGCAGATTGTATTGCTCACTCTTTAGTTTTCTATGTTGTGTTTTTGTAGACTGTTCTTTTTCTTTTGTTCCCTTTTCGTTTTTTAACCATGGCATTGTCGGTTCATTTTCGACTTGTGAGTTTGGCTATGCCTTTGGTATTTCCGCCTCTCTTTTATAAGAAAAATTTCTAACTTAATATGAAAAAAGATATAGAATACAAGATCATTTCCACCACCCCCTTCAAATAAAAATCAATTGGTTGTTCCTATGAGTTGTATCTGACATATACTGACCTCTGATTGTTGATTTCCAATCATGAGAACACTCAACTAACATTGACTAAGTCACAAAACCGGTCATCAGAAATACTACTTCCATTCAATTATGGTTAACCAAGTTAACAGTTGGGATTAGAAAAAAAGGAAGTCGTTTTCATTAACGCCGTTGTCGATCATTCCACTTTCGCATTGGCAAGTTAAAACCATAACAAAAATGAGGCTGTTGTAATTATAACTTTTATTTGGTTGAAAAACTAACAAAATCTACATCTATATATTTTGAAGTAAATAAAATTTTGCCGTTTATCCCGTTTTTGAATCCTTGTCTATATCATCCTTTTTGGGAGGGAAGCCTTTTTCACCTCCTGAAATAGATTGAAAGATGTAACACGTTAGTGAGAAATGTAAAGCGCCTACCAGTGTAAAGCATTCGTTGATAATTAATTTCTATTCGCGCATCCTTCGAAATTATTCAAGAGAAATAATGTAGTTTGGAGGATAGTTCAGCAAAATATATAGACTTGACGTATTTAAAAGTATTATTACTACAACATTATAATTGTTTTTTTCTATGTTTTGTAAATAATATCACCAGAGATATATACATATGTTTCTAATATTACCAAATAGCAAAATGAATTTTTTTTAATGGTTTGAGTGAAATTTGGGAATACATACACAATTAGTAAATATAGATATTAATTGTCTGAAATTGATGGATACTTATAATTCCACCAACATGGTATTCAGAATTAAGAGTATGGCTAATCCTGATTGGTCGATGTGTGCGTACCCGGTATTTTTTATTACTAGAGACTTCGTGCACTCTGCATTATACCTGAGGCAAAATAATATATTTTCCTTAGCCCTAATAGAATTGAGATATCTTTTCGACGCTAGGATGAGACACGTGTTTTTCAGCGCAAAATTGATAGGCGAGATAGATAAGTACAAACTACGTTTAGAAAAGCCATAGGAATTTATATTTTTTTGACAAAAAATACTGTTCTAATAATTTTTATTTAATTCTAGCAAGGTTTCGTTAAACAAATCAACTTTCTAAAGTCTGTATCTCGAAAAAGGCTACCATTGTCGCCTATGGGGAAATTAACTGTTTTTCCAATCTATATTCACAGCCTCTTCTCATGTACAATTAGATATGTAGCCATTTATTTTGACGAATAGGCTTATCTTTGAGAGATCGAGTTTTTGTCATAAAATAATGGTTATTTTCACATAATATAAAAATAAGAAGATGTGGTATGACTGCCAACTCTCCACCAGAGACCAATTGACGTGCTCCAAAGTTAACTATGGATCACTGTACGGCCTTCTATAATGTTAACCATATTTCACGGTTTACTAATCATTCGGTTTTTTAACTTTATTGATAAATTTAGTTTAACGTCATAGTACAGTTAATGCCACAGGACGCTAGCAAACAATAGCAAATCAATTCATAGTTACTTGCTGTTTCATAAAGGATCCATCTATGGAGTATGACAATATTCAACGAAAATTAGATCACCCTGTCTTACATTTTGGGTGCCTTTGACCTAAATTAAATGTAATTCAAGCCTTAAATACTATGTGACTACCAATCATTTAACTTGGACTAGTGATGCATATGAGAGAGCATCAACGTCTCCATAAAAGGAGGTCATTCTGATATACATTTTATTGGTTGCTGACTAAACATTGCAAGACCGAGTTCATTTTAATATACATTGAACCAGTACCGAGGAACTGCAAACGAGGATTAACTAGTGTTCAATCAGAAGTTGGTCACTGTGACCTACTTTTTCGCTTTGACGTAAATTCAACGTCCGATCTTAGTTCACGGATACGAAATAAGATACCAACATGTACTTGTACCTAGTCAAAAATTATTAATTAAGGATAATGATCATTAAATGCTTAGGCTATGTCACAGATTGCGTTAAATTTTATACAACTGTTGGACGTTGTACTAAATGAGAAAAATAATAAATTTGACTGTTAAACTTGCTAATATATTATTAAATGAAAATCATGAAAATATTTGTGTAGAATATACATTAAATCTATCAAAAACGTTGAAGATTTTATTTTACAAACACCTTTCGTTAAACTCAGTACATAGATTTTTCTTAAAAATCAATATGTTGTTTCCAAATAAATTTTCCTTTTTAATGATGTCAATATTTATTATGGTCACCTACTCGTTTTGGGGTGTACAAAATTTAATCAGATTGTTGTTGGCCCCAAAACGCTAAAAACGTCAAAATAAGCGTAACGTCATCTCGTAGTTCATCTATAATACGTCGCATTTCGGCGTTTTTCCCCCCACTTACAACAGGTTAACAGAATTGGTTGATACACCAAAAATATTAGGTCGTTGACCCTATCATTTTTTTTTATGTCAAATCAAGTTAAGTTTTCCGGCCGTTATAGGTTTGCCGATTTGATACGTACCAGGTATAGTTGGTGTTGTGTTCGAGGTATCATCTAATTCAACTCAATTCAAACTTTAGTGCTCTACCAACTCACTTATTTTCCACGTGATCCATGATTCTTTATCGATTGTTTATCAAGTATCAAGTCAACGATCGGTAAACTTCGGCAACAATCTCAAAACTTAATTAGCAGCTAAAGTTTTCGATCATGAATTGTCGATTATACGTTATGGACTCGTTATAAATGTTTAAAAATGTACATAGCGGACTTAATTTAGTATATTTGCATGCATTGGTTTAATAATTTTCTTACATTAAAGTTAAAAAAAAACTCGTTTCATATAATTTTAAACATTCATTTTATATATTAAATCACTCTATCGTTAAAGTTACTATACCATCGCTCGACCCATAAGAGCCCCCGGCTTGCACCTTATATTAGAATAAAGTTGCATGTATGAATGAGGTCTTGTAGCATGAAAAAAGAAATCATATTTTATTATATCATTTGGGAAAAAGATTGACATTGACAAAGGCCATTTGCTGAGTCAAAAAATGTGTCATTTTGATCATTCCGTCTAGTTCGTTTATTACTATCTTTTACTATAGGGTTTTTGCATGAATAATGGTAAAAATCGTCCAAAGTAAATTTTTATATTGCACGAGCTAGTGGGTGAAATATATAATCTACGAGGGAATATGTTTACCAGTATTTATGCAATAACCCTTTTATTGTATAGCAAAGCTTGAAAAACTGTTTTTTTTTTGTCACTGATGATGGCAAAAATTTGAAGCTAGATTTGCACTAGTGCGGTATGAATATTTTATACTTTCATACTTTTGTAAACGTTCTATGGGAATATAACGTTGCTATACGATGGTTTTTGTACCATTACAAACTGCCAATGTGATCTCTGGTATTAAAAAATTAAGGATCATTCTCCCCACTTGGTAAATATTTGTCGGTAATTTGTTTATATTTTTCATGGGATTTAACCTGAAATACCCGACCCTCTAGGTTTTCTTATCTTCCTCACTCGGCTTACAGCGGAAAATATGTAACAAACTTTGTGTTTTAAAAAAAGGCCATGTATCAAAATTCAAATTGCAAATTTAAAAAGAAAAAAAAACACCTAGTCTTGCTGTCATGCAAATTTTGAACACGATTATTGTACTCAAACTCAGAAATCAACCAATCAAAATACTGGATTTGGTGTTTCAAAAACAAATGTGTACTCCGAGTACTGAGTAAAGTGTTATGACCAAGCGCAAAAGTCCGATCGAGGGTTTACAAGATTTTCCATACGAAGGATGCCAAGTGAATACGAAATCATTCATAGCTCTCTGCAAAATTTCACAATATGTAGCACAATGGCAAATTTATTATTTTGTTATCAGTTATCGAAATAAAATGTTAAAAGGATAAACAATGACTTTCTAAAAAAAACAAAAAACAGGCAAAAACATAACAAAAACATAAGACCCTCAAATAAATGTCCGAACACAATACAAAGAAAAAAGAATGAAACCATCTCAGCATTAAATAATAAAGGCAGTTCATTTGGTCAATAGGCAGACTCTGTATACATTAATTTCCTCATTAATCGGATGAGTATAGTCTATATATGCGCCTACATCTACACCATTTGGTTTGTTGATATAGTGACCTATTCACGCGGTTCATTCCTATCACTCATTTTAAACTAAGTACCCCGAGCTTGAATAGGTTGGGATTCCCACCGTTCCAAGTTACTAGCGTATGTACTACGTTTACAAATGTACCAACGTTTGAAACCTGTTTTACTGCATGAAAAAAGGTGTTGGAAGTGATTAAATCTGTTTCTTCAAGAGTAAGTGTACATCAATTGTTTATAAAACTGACATGTAAATGTTAATGGTCGAATCTAAATATTTATTCTCAAGTTAGGACATAAAAGATCCTGAACACAGCTATCATGATATAAAGAATAACAATATTTAAAAACATTTCCTTTGAATATTCTTATTGGTAGGGAGAGGGTTCCAATAACTGGGTCCCGTTTAATTTTATCCTTTTGTTTAACGTAAAGCAACGGTTGACAAGCATAAGCTCACTAAGACCTTTGAGTAAGACTTAACAATTTGTGCTATAATTTAAAAATAGCGTTGATTCGCTAAACATACTAGCGAAAAAATAAAAAAAAAACAATTTTATTAGATATTTTGTGTTTTATATAAAAGCAAAGTACCGCAAAAATTTATTCCAAATTAATATCCATAAATTTGTCCATTCTTTTCCAAAATGTTTTGCACGTCGCGAAGAATTGACAATATTCATTAATGAATTTGTTGTTGACTTATATGGGAATGTATTAGACTGCTTTCTACGTTAATTCACATTTAATATATAACTGATAATTTTGAGAGACCTATAAACACACAGTCGTTTATATAAATTGCGTTTTACAAACCTTGACTGGTGTATACCAACACACAGATAATAATAGTTTTACATTATTAATGAGGTCAATTTTTTATGTTAAAATGACTCTTATTTTTTCACCCTTTCTAAACACCTATCCAACAAAAATTGTCAATCATTCATTCTATATTATAATACTAATATCACAAGAAAAAATCAGATAGATTAGAAATAAGCTTTCTATTTTAACTTCTTTATGACTCTGCAATTTCAGGAGAAATAAATCTGAACTACAAACCGTTCGCGCAACGCATAATCGAGTACACCCAATATTGTTTGCTATGAACACAAAAAGAACCCACATGATTAAGACCAAGGTGCAGCTTAACATCCTCCAAATACTTTTGATTAGCATTCATACAACAAACGTTGATATTAAGTATATGCATCAATTATTTAAAAAAGTTGAATGACGGCTCCCAGTAAGTTCTACGGTTGGTACGGTAGTAAATCGGGAAACCTCTATTGATGGACCTACAACCATATTGTTATAGTTATCTGGTTCTTTTCTTGAGATCAATTCTCTTATGTGTACAACTAAGCGTTTTCACCTTCACTCTATTCGTTTAGTCGAATCAGAGATCTATATTTGAATAGATTGACAAATATCTTGATGTGCCCCGTGGTTTTCTAAATGTACTATAGAGTGACATTATCGGCAACTTTGATTGTCGGGCAAATTATCACTATATTTGTTAGATTTCTTTGCCTTTTTTGTTTAAAATATTCAAAATGTACTGATAGAAAATATAGAATTTGAAAAGAAATAATAAAAACTGGTATGCAAAATAAAATAAACTTCATGCAAGGCTAAAAGAAACGAAGAAAAAACACAGTTTGCACTAGAAAAAAAAACTGAAATTGCATGCAAGGCCTTTTGAAAATTAAATGTGTGTAGCAATATAAAAGGAAACACATCACAACTTAAAGTCTTTGAAAATTAACATTTTGAATCAAATAAACATATTGAAAGACCGAATGAATTTATTTCCAAAAGATAACCATAATTTTGTTCTGATATTTTACAAACTTACGACAATTGAAACAGTAACATTTTCTGCGGCCAGATCCAAAACGTTTGCAATCTCCTCCCCTACACTTGTATTTTCTAACACAACAATTATGACATCCACAATCGCAATTACCCTTAAATCTACCACGTCCTTCACAGTGCGTTTTTGAACATTCTTGTTGTTCTGTTTCTTGCACTACTGAAATGAAACATTAATCATCTGACTATTGCTGAATTCTTGTAAATTTTGTACTTTCCAATTACCAATGGGGATATCTCACAGTATGTCTTCGGTGTCTAATATTTTCTTTTCTTTCAACTTTCTTCCTTTTTACAATTTTCGAAAAAAGAGTACGCGCCGTAAGTAACTAACCACCTATTTATATTTTTGGAAACGGTAGATCCGACCGTTTAATCATAGAAAACATTGTTTATCTGCTATATGGAATAACTATGTTATGCTGTCTACAGATTATAAAGGGCATGTAATTATGTGATAACCGGATACAGGCGCGGATCCAGCCATTTTGAAAAAAAAGGGGTGGGGGTTCCAACACATAAAACAACATTAAACGTTCACATGATAAAATAAAACAAAAACAGAAAAACCTAACATAATCGAAAAAAGGGGGATTCCAACTCAGGGAACACATACCTCCCTTCCTGGATCCGCCAATAGGATAACTCTATGAGAGGTCTCAATCAAACATGACAATATGTACAATACATATATGTACTGTATGGGTTTGTTAATCATCACAATGACAAACATATGTCACGTCCTTACTTGTATTGTAGATGGTACTGTGAAATTCAGTATTAAGGCAATGACGTTTTGCGATTTTCAACTATTCATTTCATATAATCATTACTAAGTGTTAGATTGACACATGGTTACTGATAGGTTAATTTAAAAGAATTATACTGACCCAGGTACAAAGTCTAGGTAGTTGTAAATTTATGTGGATCTTTTTGTGCATAAGCTAAAACTCTGCCGAAAAAAAATTACAAAGATAAAAATTGATCTTTTTTAAGCATTGATTTGCATCTCCGAAATATCATGGCTCTTTTAATTCACTTATTTGTCACGTGCTCCACATGCTCTGTGTTGATTGTTATCAAGGTCACGATCTGGTAAACTCGGCAACAAACTCGAAAGTTAATTAGCTTACGATTAACAACACTGAATGAAACATGGCGATAATACGTTCTAGACTCGTAATAAATATCAAACAAACGTGCATACAGGACTTAGTTTAGTATATATGCATGCATTGGTTCAATAATTTCGATAATATTAAAATTACAAGAAAGTCGTTTTATATGACTTTAATTATTTTATTCATGAGATGTACTAAAATAAATAAAGTCGGACACACCAAGCACTAACACTTTTTATTTTTTTTTTACTAAAAACCCTTGAAAACAGACTTTACAAATTGATCTTAAAAGACAGCATAACTTCAAAAACTTTTCATTTGTTTGTGTGTGTTATCTAAGGTAATTAGTCTTCAACCTCTGAATTTTTCGTCTGCCCTTCCACAAAATATTTTATTAGAATATTTTTTGGAACTTTCGAAAATTCCCCACAACCGATCAGACAATAGTTTTCAGTTGACAAAAGCCCTAAAAGTACATTAATCGATGCTTAATATCTAGTAGATACATTTGTCTTTTTAGAATAAAACTGTCTTGTAAGAATTGTAATGATGCTATATTGATAAATTTGTCAGTTTTCAGGAGCGTCATCCCTACAATTGCTTACAACTCATGAGGTGGCGTAATGGGGAGATAATTTTGACGAAGTAGATTCCTGACCGTTTTGTACCATAGAACTAAGGTTGATTAAATGTGGTATGCTGATACATCAGGGGTTGGAATAGGGGGCATATATCAGAGTCAGGTCACTCTGACCTTGAATTTGAACTTTAACACCATGCCCATGATGCAACCCCATCAAGTTTGGTTAATCGGTTAAAGATTTACGATACAAAAGATATGAGCCGGACACTAATTAGATAAGGTTTTACCATCATAGGATCAAAGGTCAAATTTATGGTCAGAGTGATCGTACTTTGGTATATGACAGACATCAGCCCATGATGCAACTGCATACTAAGTTTAATTAACCTAAGTTTACTGAACAAAAGTTATGCACCGGACACGAATCGGAACAGACAGACGGAAGGACGGACGGACGGACAGTCGGACATGGTGATTCTAGTATACACCCTAAACTTTGTTTGCGGGGGTATAATAAATAGAAATACTACTACTTACAAGGTGAGTTCAAACTTACCAGCAATAACAAGCACAATTATAAGGAATATTGCAATCTTTCTCATAATGTTGGATGTTTCAAATGTCAATCCTGAAAAAGATCAATATATTTCAAATCGATTGAATAAACACATTTTAAAATGAACCACCCTATACGAGTAAAAGGGTGTATTTTATGTTTTTGAATATGATATTCTTTTCTCTATGATTCTCAATTGCAGTATTTACATATTTGATAAGAACACTTGGGTAAAGTGTCAAAGTAGTTATTTCCATGGATAATGCAGGTGGATTTTAGTTATGAAAAGTAAACTTTATAACCTGATATTTGGGTTTAAGATGGCGCTTATTTCTTGTAAATAGGTTAAGACCTCAAACTTTCATTCAGTCACTGCGATCATTTTTAAAGGGGCATTACCTTTAAATGAGACATAAAAATGAAATATGCTTTTTTTTCTTTCTTTTCTTATATAAATCAATACAAATCACAAAGTTTTATACAATATCTACAACATAACACATGCAATCTAACATACGTACTGATTGTTAATGATTGAAAAATAAAAATGACTGATTGTTAGTAATTACAAAATGATTAAAAACAAATATAGAAACATGATTAGTAAAATGCTCCGCTGGGCGTAGCTTGATACGACCGCAGATGTCGAATCCTAAACAATTGGAGCAAGTATTGACACAACTTTCCAGCTTGATACAGCTTTCAAATAGGATTGTGATTAAAAATTTGACTCAGCAAAGGTTTCCGACACAGAATTAATGAGATCAAAGAACTTAAAAATATGAAATTGGACTTTTACTTATTTAATGGCCCAATATCCAAAATCTAAGTACACGGTTAGATTCAGTATATTCAAGTTCACTAAGAATTTAATTTAGTTATTTATTAATGGAAAATATAATTAGTTTTTAAAGGGTTCACTTCATCAAAAAAATAGATAAATAAAGCATTCTGAAAATTAATGTTTACAGAATAACAAACAAACCTACCATGAAAGTTTTTCCAAAAAATTTAGAAGAAAATGAAAAAAAAAAATAATTTTCCAAAATATCATTCCTCATCAAACTTCCTTCTTATTATTTTTCAAAATATCTAATAATTAACCGTAAAATTCAAACTGCATTGATACCTAATTTCTTCTCTAACATTATATTTGATGCTGCATCTATTTTTAACTCTGACTCGACTTACAATTTCTATTGATTGTGCAATACATCTCTGATTTGGATTGATATTAAATATTTGACATAACATAGTTTCTGACAAAGAATGAATGTGGTTTAAGAACTTGAAATTTTGAAATTGGACATTTAGCTACCATGGTCTTATATTTAAAATCTAAAAACATGGTCAGAAACAGCATATAAAAAAAACAAGAATTCAATTTTTGATGAAATCAAACAAACTTCAGTTTTGAACCCTTTGGATCTCAATGTGGACCAATTTGATAACGGGGACCAAAATCAAAAATCTAAATACATGTTTAGATTCAAGAACCTCTTGAATTCAATTTTGCTAAAATCAAACTAAGTTTAGTTTTGGACCCTTTGGACTTTAATGTGGACCAATTTGAAAACCATTCCCAAAATCAAAAATCTAAATATACACGGCTAGATTCTGCATATTAAAGAACCCCAATAATTCACTTCTTGGTGAAATCAAACAAAATATTCAGATTGTGGATTTGGGGCACGATAAAACAAAATGCAGTTCATTTTCTATTAAGTTATTTCAACAGTGTTGATAGAGCCTTTAACATCTGGGCAAAAGCTCAAGTTTTCTTGATATTGTATTTAGTTTCCGTTCATATCTCCCAGTTTCTATTCTCAAACTGTGGTTACTCAGCCTAAATTTTGTTAAAGTTCTTCTGCTATTAACATTTGTCACAGACCGTATTGCCTTGTTTATGAAGTTGACAATGCGTTTCCGTAGAGTTTTAATTATGAAATCAAAACAGAATACAGGTTCGCGGAAGTTTTACGTCGTGCTCTTCAAATTAAAAAAATATGATTTTCACCCAAAATATACCATTTGGAACAGTTGTAAGAGTTGCAGTATATGAAGAATAACAATAATTTTCTCGAAACATTAATTTAATTTGTAGTCGGCTCAAAACAGGATTGAATAATTTGCATAGACATTGAGATTCCTTTCCTGTTTTTGTAAACATTTTTATTTTCTCGGACATTCTCTCTCTCATATGTAATTAAATGTATTCTGATTTTAGGACCAATAAAAAAAGATGCAATTTTCATATGATATTTATATTTGTTTTTCGTTTATTGTTTTGTACATAAATCAGGCCATTCAATGGTTTTCTTGTTTGAACTTGTTGTCATTTCGATTAGGTTTTTTTAATGTGATTCCCTTCTATAGACGATATCGCAATTGTTAAATAGATACTTATATGTGAGTTGAAAGTATGGCTTCCCTGTAGAAATATTATTAAAACGGGATATCACATTACGTAATTAAAATTTTTATAAAGCACTCAAAACTTATTACCGCGTATTTTCTTTAATAAACATGTATAATTAGTTATCAAAGGTACCGGGATTATAATTTAATAAGCCAGACGCGCGTTTCGTATACATAAGACTCATCAGTGACGCTCAGATCAAAATAGTTATAAAGCCAAACAAGTAAGAAGTTGAAGAGCTTTGAGGATCCAAAATTTCAAAAAGTTGTGCCAAATACGACTAAGGTATTCTATTCCTGGGATAAGAAAATCCTTAGTTTTCCGAAAAATTCAACGTTTTGTAACAGGAAATTTATAAAAATGACCATATGATTGATATTCATGTCAACACCGAAGTGCTGACTACTGGGCTGGTGATACCCTCGGGGACGAAACAGATATCAATAGTTTCGATTCACAGATAAGCCCAGCTACTGCCCTTACATCCCGCCTATGCATATGTTTTGGCAAATTTTCTGCATTAAGGTAAACTTTTCTTTGATTGTTATCGGTGCTTTACCTCGGATCTTTCTGTAATGCAATAATTGAGTCTAGGTGAAACAGTCATTAAGCAACTGAATTCGGAATTTCAACTGACTTCCATTTTTTTCACTTCAGTCATATAGTTTCTCAAGTATTTATACATTCTTGGCTTTTAAATTTTTGTTGTAAGCGTTCATAATGAAGGTTAATTCGCAAACTGAGCGCTTCGGACGCACCACATTTACGAAGCTTTTTGAAAACTGCGAATACACTTATTGTCACTTAAACCGGTATCGTTCTGCCGCCTCGTTATTTCTTTAAAAGGTTCAAATTCAGGGCATTGGACCGCCATAATATAACAAAGAATATTATAGAAAAGAGCAATTTTATCAATAATAGCAATAAACTTATAGTTTATCTATGTTCAAATCTTTTAAATCCAACAAGAAGGTACATGATAAAAAATTAGTGCATTGCATGATCTTCAAGCGTCTCCTGCTATGCATGCTTCGCGCGTCATGTAAATCCACAAATGCATGACGTTCAAACGGAAATTTTTGTATAGTATTTACGTTGAATATATGATAACGTTGAACTGAACAGATTTTGTTTAAATGAGAATTTTTAAGATCATAATCAGAAATCGAAAAAGGACAGACAACATATTTATAGCATACCCGCTACTCTCCAGAATTGGCCGAGTTTAGACGAGTGATAGCATAACATGCTGGCAACGGATATTCAACCATCGCACATTTTGATTGCGCATGGCATAGATTTTTTTCTATATAGACATGTATTTAAATAAAAAAATTAAAATACATTATAGCAACATCTGAGAGCTTCAGTATCTCTTGTCACTAGATTTTTAAGAAAAAGGAAAGGCAAAAAAAATAAATTAAACACGAGAAATAAGAAACTTTGCTGATTGTTTTCGCAAGTTCATTTGAAGTAAATAAAGGCAACTATAATTCAAGTAAAACGATAATAAAAAAGGTATTTATTGGCCAGTATCTGTGTGAAATATAACGATTTGCATTACTCGAGTTACCGCTCTAGATTATTTATCTATATATATACGAGCTGTTCGTAAGTAAAAAAAACATGCCCCTTTTCATATGTTTATATCTAAAAAAATATAACCACACGGACCCCTCTTAGTTTCATCAATTTGATATATTAAACAATTCTTAATCTTAAATTTCAGCTGGCAGCGTGAATGCTTAAGATATTTCCATGAATGAAAACTTTTTGGTTCCTTCAAAGGCCATAAGGCGAATGATATCTACTTCATGAACTAAGTTATAAAAACAACATCAACATTTTGTAGATGAAACGATGCCGGAGTGGTCCCTTTATCAATGCTATGACTACAGGCAGTCTTCACCCGATGTGAAACTCATCTTAAAAACTGTGAAAGTAAAACAAAATGTGGCCCATTATGAGACACTAGTCTCTTTACTTGAAATATATATATAACTATATAACTCACGCACATACAGTGAAGTTTTAAGTGACTCCTTAATTATTTTTCCACAACAAATTAGGGTTTTCCTTGCGCTACAGTAATGCACATTGGTTTACCATACAAGTCTTTCCCCAAATATGACACATCATATAAACTGCGCAGAATATTTATACTCAATTCAAAAAAAAAAATTAATGGTAAAACATGTTGCTACAATCATACTTGACTCATTTCGTTATTCGTTACAGATTTTTCAAAAATGTTTTAATATAAACATGTACTGCATCCTGTTTTTTGTGTTAAATATATTTTAATATTATAGTAGGTTACCCTAACACGATTATGTAGATTACAACTACAAATATTTATGTTATGTAATAGTAGTCAGAAGTGTTTCTTTAATTCAAAGTCTAAGCTCCGCAGTTGACAGTAATTCGTCATAGATGTTCAACAATCCATTCGGTGACATCGGAAATACCTCGGCCTTCCAAACGTTTATGCAGTGCATGCATAAGAGTTAAGTTCTTGCACTTAAATATTAGATGAATTCGTCAGATGCTCGTTTTTTTTCTAGTTTTCGAAGAATGTCACCTGGTGAAAGACATGTAGTGATGCTAATCCGGCGACTGCGTTATTTTTATGTGAATCTCCGTATTTCAGAGGGTGGAGGAGTTTCAGTATACAGATGTCTTCTGACACGAAGTTTCCGTCTTAGATATGACCGTTATCCTTGACCTCGTTTTTAAAGTTCAATCACCATTTAGGAACTGTAGTTTTTTTTTTATCTCCTGATTAGACTGTTCGATATGTATTAAATTTGCTGTATGGTTGTTTTCTATATGACCTGTATTATATAACTACTAGTAACATTATCCCAGTGGATTAAACTTTCCGTCTTTACCAACATGAAGAACTATGAAACAAAAATAGTGGAAAGTCAAAAATTCTCATTCGAGAACAAAGTCAATATTGTAGTGTATTTCTGAAGAACAATAAATTCAATTTTATAGCTTTAGACGTTTTAATTTTGACCCTTTTGAATGAACCATATCACAACTTTGCCTTAGAATTTATGACCAAAACAAAATTTTGACAGTGCAATTTCTCCCATCTCTTTCCAAATCTCCTTGTTAGCTTCTGTTATGAACATGGATCACGAGGGGATGGATTGGGAATGAGGTAAAATTTACAAGCAATGCCGAGAACTGTCCATATTTGGGACTATCGTATGGTGATTTGTGGGCAGTATTTTGATGACAAAGATACCCGTATACATCTACTTGAGTATGGGGATGTCAAAGATACACGTACACTTCTATTAAGTACGGGAATGAAAACGTACGATAAAGTACAAGCACTTTTAACACACAAATAATTCATTGTTCTGTCACGTTTTGAAAAGGGACTGGCAGTGATGAAGGCCATTAGTAATGCCGAAATATCTGTCAAAACGATTTCATTTCATCTTGTTCGTATGTATTTTTTATCTTTTATCAATATCGTTGGACAAACCTTAAGACTTTTATATATTATATATATAGATACATGTGCATGTACGTCAGAAACGGTTCACTTAAATTTTTACCTCATTTTTTGGACCATGGATCAACGTTACGTTAACTTGATTGTGTATATTTCTTACAAACTGTAAGTAATGTCATTATTTGATTATATCTTGTATAAAGAATGATTGCAAGGTGTAAATATAAAAATGGAGAGATGTGGCATGATTGCAAATGAGACAACTGTCCACCAGAGTTAAAATGAAGTGGTAGTAAGCAATTAGAGGCAACCATACTTCAACAATGAGAAAAACCCATACCGTATAGCTGACTGTAAAAGGTCCCGACATGAAAAATGTGAAACAATTCAAATGAGAAAACTAACGATCTAATCTATAACAAAACAATTTACGCAAATTTAATATGACAGACATGAACCAACGTTTAACGACCACTACGGGTTCTTAACTTGGGACACGAGTATGTTGAAGCTAAATTTCAAATTTCGGAAATAAAAGTTTAGTTCAGTAAAGCTGCAAACTGTGTACACAGTGTGCTTCATTGGTTTATTCAATTGTGATAAGAGATTCGCAAAATACTGACAACTTAAAAAAAATCTGTAGAAATTATGCAACATATTGAAATGTATTATTCGTTCGGAAACAAACAACTAAGAATATCTAATGAGCGTCCCTTAATTAGATCTTATCGGTAGCAAATTTTTGTCCTTCACTCAGCGGGAATTGAAACCACTATTCTGTGACATCGTTTATAAAATTGTATATATTTGTTTTATTTTCAATTATTTATAGTTGTGACAGCATGCAATTAATACTTTCATTTACACTTTGAACATTGCCTATTGCTGCGAAATAACATGTGCACTGATAGGCCTATTGATTATTATGTTTGCCTTTTAATTTGTTATTCTTGTTTTAAATACATGATCTCTTTAGAGCATCAAAGTAGAAAATATTTGACAAATCCATTTAAACATACATTTTACTTAAATGTCAAATATTTGCACATTTGTTTAAAAGCTGTAATAAGATGTCAATTCAAATGTAATAATAATATACTTTGAATTTCTTTTTCGTGCAGAATTGTTTTGTATGGGCAGCAAAAGGTTTCAAATTTCATAAAACAGCACGGAAAATAACTTACAATAAATGAGGAGGTAGGATGATTTAAGAGCCATTATATGGCCCCTGAAATTGCAAAAATATGGACACTTGAAGTGAAGAAAGGTCAACATGATGTCATAAACAAGTCGAATTGAGGCTATCTTTGACTCTTTGTAGTACTGTAAACCAACTTGTTTTCGCGAGCGTTTTATTTTTCGCGACTTTCGAGAGTAGAAAAATAATGTGAATATTGTCGCGAATATGTAAAATTTGATCATTCCTTATTTAACTACATCAAATAAATTTGAAAATCGCAAAATGTAATCGCCGCGAAGTGGGTTAGAAAGGTTTGAACGCGAAAATTAGTTGGTTTACAGTATTGCACTTTAGAAATTTGAAGTCTCAAGCAAGTGTGTACATAGATGATATTAGGTCAATGTCAAAAAAAATATAAACTTTTTTGTATGAAGCTGAGAAACTGGGGAAGGGCGAGGTTTTACCGAGTAAAAGTTTACATTTTTCTGACATTGACCTAATATTGTTTTTATACTGCAACTTGAATTAATACATTGATAGCTATTTAAATTGTAACACTAATTTCAAACTCATTTTCGTCCCTTAATGAACCCCTGATTGTGGAAAAAGTGATCCATGATGAAATTGACATTGCACAAAATAAAGCTGTGTTACTATATTTAGAAAATAAACACAACTAGTTGCAGTATAAAACACAATTCAAATCCTGAATACTGATGTCTTACAGACTTATTATTTTTTTCTGAACATTTGAATGATCATGTTATTTGGTAGATTTGTATTTTCTTTATTTTTTGAATTCAAGGGCCAAAAAGTGGCCTTACCATACCTTCACCTTTGACAGCATAAATCGTTCTTGCCTTGCAGGGAAAAAAACCAAATACTTTTTAGTAGGCAATTTGATGGACTGTGTGTATATGAAAGCGAACATGACTTAACCGAATAATTTTTAATTTTTTTCTTTCAAATTCTCTATAGGATTAAGCACGGTTTTTCCTAGAGGTTATATTGGTGTAAACTGTGTCCGACTATCTCACAACTTGAATAAGAGTCAGTGACTAAATCGAAATAGTGCACGGTGTATAACCGCCGTACACATTTCCGGAACTTGAGTCGCGCGTTATGAAACGACAAAACCACAACAAGCTAAGCGGATCTATATACAATATTAAAAATATAGCTTATTTATGTACACATTTAATATAAAAAAAAAGGATCGTACACGATGTACATATGTTTTGTTCTCAATTAACATGTTTATTATGAAATTCCAATTTTAATTCTTGAAATGACTGTTTTAAAAATGCACGGTAAAGAACTGTCATAAAATCATTTAAATATTTATACAAATAATTTCACATATCAACTGGTGAGTGTTATTTCTCCAGAAAATAGCCATGATCTTTATAATGTGTTTACTGTATACGTCAATTTGTCTTTGTGCGTTTTGATAACTTTAATGTATCGTTCGTTGGAGAAAATATCGAAAACACCATATACTGTCTTTATTGAAACACTTATCTTTTAGATATCTGATCAACTATGTACTGGCTTCCGAAGCTGCATAAAACTCCTTACAAATATAGATTTATTTCGTCTTCTATCTATTCTACTTACTAGTACACTTGGTACAATCAAAAACCTGGTAATAAATTGTTCAAATAAGGCCTTTGAAAATAGTGGAATTAATTACTTTTGGAGTGTCAAAAATTCGTTGGAAGTACTTGATAAATTGTATGCTTATATTGGTGATTTCGAATCTGTTCAAAGTTTTTATTTTTCTACCCTATATACCACGTTGCCTCATGATCTTATTAAGAAAAAATTCACACACCTGATTAAATGGGCATTTAAAAAGTCGGAATGCGAATATATATGTTCAAACTCTTTTAGGTCATTTTTTAGTAATAACAAACAAAAGAACTATGTCAATTGGACCTGCTTTGATACTATAACTGCCCTTGAATTTTTACTAGATAACATTTTTGTTCGCTATGGAGGTTCCGTATATCGTCAGGTTATCGGAATTCCCATGGGGACTAACTGTGCACCACTTATTGCGGACCTGTTTCTGTATTGTTATGAGTTACAATTTATGACTAAAATCAGCAAAGACCCATCGAAACAATATCTGATTCAAAAATTTAATAACACTTTTAGATATTTAGATGATATATTGGCATTCAATAATGACGACTTCAGTATGTACACGAAAGAGATTTATCCTGCTGAACTGACTTTAAGTAAAGCTAATACTAACAATGAACACTGCCCTTTCCTAAATCTTGATATCTTTATCTTTAACGGGAAGCTTAATACCAAAATTTATGATAAAAGACATGATTTTTCATTTCCTATTGTTAATTATCCATTTTTAGATGGTGACGTTCCCTTGTCGCCATCTTATGGTGTTTATATAGCTCAACTTGTTTGATTCGCTCGTGTATGTAACAACGTATTTGATTTCAACGAAA